TTGTAATTGAATACTTGAACTAGTTGCAGTCTTGCAGAGTATTGTTAATGGTCTTCATGATTGATTAAAACTATGGGTCTACGAAAATGGGCTAGAACTAGAATGATGGCAATCCATTAACATAATGGGCCTAAAAATCATTAAGGCCCAACATCTGCTTAAACCCTAAAAGGGTCTTGTGCTTTGAAGTGTATAAATAAAGAAGATAACAGCAACACACTTGACTAAGTTCACTAGTTAAGTGTTTAAGAGCAAAACTTTTGTAAACCATTGTTGTATATAGATTTTTTTTTATTTCTATGTTGCTTAGGTTTATTTTTAAGTAAAGTTGAGAAGAAGAGCCTTCATAATCCCAGACAAAACTGAAAAAATGGTGTTTGTCTGATTCATGGGAGGCTAAAATGAAAGATATCAATGGAAAGTTTCGCTGATAAACACCTTGTTGTTTGTTATTATTAGAGGTGTTTTACTAGTAGCTTTCCACACATTTTGTTGATTTGGGTCTATGTTCTTCATGTGCTCTTTGTTCTTGTTCTTGTTCTTCTAATCTGTAATGTAATCTGGATTCTGGATTAGTGAATTGAGCATCAGGGACAAAGAGGGTAATTTTGTTGCAGATTGGACTATTTTGTTTAAACGACCGGACCGAATTGAAACATTTCAGAAAGTTGGAAGCAATTTGGGCATCTGGTTGTGCTATTATAAAACTTATCATTGCCTTTAAACTTGAAGTCAACTGTTAAAAATAGCAAAACACCTAGTAGGATTGGGTCAAGGTGAAAATGGCATATAACATTTGACTAAAACCAACCATTATATTTATACGGTTATACCTCCTCAAAATTGTACTCCCTCTGTCCCAAATTAAGAGTCCCACTTAGGGAACTCAACTATTTAAGGGGACATCATTTATTAAGCCTAGAATAAAGCAACTTTCTATTTCTACCCTTATTTATTAAGTCTAGGAAGTTGAGTAATACTTTAATTAGTTGATAAACATGCAAGAAAATTTAAGTAATTTGAATTTATTCAATTTTCAAGGAAAGGGCAATTTAGGAACTAATGGTTTCAAACCTAATAAATACTTACCCAAAACAAAAAATGGGACAACATTTTGGGACATCCTAAAAAAGAATACCGGACTCTTAATTTAGGACAGAGGGAGTA